TCTCTTTCTCTCTCTCTCACTCTTTACTGACTATCTTGAGCTGTCCTATATATTAAAGGCATATACCCCCTTAGAAAATATTTATTTAAAGGTTTTATGTTCAAGTAATGCAATTTTCCTTTTGCATTATACCAATCAGTCTAGTTCTGCTTTTATTTGTGTTATATTTTATGTCCCTACTAAAATAATTACATTTTCAACCGAATGATTTGTTATTGTTTCTGAAGGACACCATGTGATGGCAGCTTCGGCCCCGCATGCAGGTGTTGCTTTGATCACTGCTCTCAACATCCTGGAAGGCTACAACATTACCAGCCAGGTGGCCAGGAACAGCACCTACCACTGGATTGCAGAGGTAGTATTCTAACTGCTTCACCATTATTCAGCATAAACAATCTGCAGTGCAGTAATTCTCATGATATTTACTTATGTGTTCATATTGCATTTCTCTTCCAGGCTGTGAAGATAGCTCTTGCCCTGGCTAGTGAGCTGGGAGACCCCATGTATGACTCTTCTGTCTCAGAGATTGTCACCAAGATGCTGAGGTAGAGCTCCCCATGTCGTCTTAAATATATAATGTTTATATCAATTTTAATTCAGTAAGGCATTTCCATTTAACACTGCCCTTTGTTGTTCCCATCTCCAAGTAAATCACAGGCTTCCCTGCTCCGCCAGATGATCAACGACTCTCAGGCCTTCCCTGTCGGCCATTACACTGCATCATATACCCTGGAGAAGGGTGCAGCAGCTGCCCAGGTCATGGTCATGGGCCCAGATGACCACATTGTGTCAGTTATGAGGTACATCATGCTTTAACCTGCACACTGTTTAAGCAAATCCCAGTGACAGTTAAACGTTGATTGATATCACTGGAAAACTAAGACCAGATTTCTCTTTTACTTGTGGCTGTTTTAGCTCTCTAAACAAACCATTCGGCAGCGGGATAGTGACTCCTTCAGGAATCCTCTTGAATAGCCAGATCCTGGACTTCTCCTGGCCTAATAAAACAGGGAGCTCATCACCGAACCCAGTAATTGTTCATTTTGTATTTGTTGAAGTGAATGCAGTATTGATTGATTTCTTATTGAAATATTCTTTGTAGCTGCACTAAGTCCTCATGGGTTATGTTTGTTTTTGCTGTAGCATAACAGCCTCCTGCCTGGGAAGAGGCCGATGTCCTTCCTGATGCCCACAGCAGTGAGACCTGCCGTGGGGTTATGTGGCACATACGTAGCCATCGGATCTTCCAATGGAGAGAAAGCACTCAGTGGCATCACACAGGTTATTTTTTAAATTACTGGAAGAATAACTTAAATCCACCACTGATGTTAGATCTCAGTGTGTATATATATCTTTCTAGAAATGCATTTTGGTTTGTTCCTGTGAAATCAAATTTAATAATGCTGCCCATGTTGTGCATAACAATGAATTTATGTATGTGCTATTATTCTGTATGTCTTATTCTGTTTTCTGATCCCTCACAGGTGCTGATGAATGTTCTGTCTTCGCGTAAAAATATGAGTGACAGCTTAGCGTATGGAAGACTTCACCCACAGCTGCAGCCCAACACCCTCCTGGTGGACTGTGAGTTTTTCCTAATGATCCATGATCCATCCTTTAACTTCATTTACAATAGCCATTTCCTGCTATTAACATGCAATATGCACCCGGATATGTGCTCCAGAGCAACCCTTGTACCAGTATTTATGATTGTCATCAAATCACATTTTTGTGTACACTATACAACGTATATGAGTATCTGCGAAAGCAGTAGGTGCTCCTATTGTCATGAAAAACAAAGGGGGCAGTTGTAGGGTTTAACACCTTGGCACATTAAAATGTCTTTCTGACTTCCTGTGCTGTAAAAAGAATAATCTACAGTTTTAGTGGGAGGTAGGAAAAATAATAATGATATGTTAGTAAATCCTATGAACCCCATATTGCAAACATCACATTTCTTGCTGACTCCAGCAAAAAGATATATCAGCTTCTGGTACATTACCATAGTGATCGAGTACATTGGACAGATCAGGATTTTTTGGATCTGCCTTAGTCAGAGGCTACTTAAAGGTCCAGTGTGTA